TTTTTTTATTGTATTGTTGTGAGAAATAACAATCATGGTCAGTGAGAAATGTTTTGAAAAAAGATGAGAAAGAGTAATCATAATCGTGAGGAATTTTTCGTATCTTCAGCTACGCGCGACGAATTGTATTTGGAAAACTTCGAGAAATGAAAGGCCCAGCCAGGGTTTCAATTTGCTTCAATACCAGAGAAAACTTGCTTCAAGAAACGAAAAAATGATCGAGAGAGAAGTAAGTTAGTAGGTTAAAATTCTAACGGCGGTGAATGAAATGAATGAGCCTTCGTTAGCATAACAGAGAAGACCCGTACTGTGATGGAAATTGGCGTAATAAACGTCAGAAACGTTGAGAAAAGCAATGACTACTAACTAATCGCTCGTACTCTCAGTGCAATAATTAATTCACACTTTGTGAGAGAGTTATAATCGAGTCGTCGCGAGTAGAAAATATTTAAAGGAAACACAACTTCGTTCAAAACGTCCTCCATAAATCATCGTTTGCAATAATAATCGGTTACCGGGGAAAATAAGCCAAAAAATCGATCTCGATGCATTACCCTCCCGTAACAACTTCGCCAAGCCGGTCGTTCAGCCTGCAGATAACATTCATCAAAGTTACGAGTACCGTTTTCAAGAAGATATCCGCTAAAATACCCTATGTAGCAGAGGCTATCCGGACGTCTCTCTGGTTTTTCGAGTCTCGTCGAAGAAGCCGAAACAGGGCTTCTCGCTCGTCTCCCGGTAGCGAGGGAAGAATTACGAGCGGAGAGAAAATGCGAACCTCCTCTCGTTGGAAAATGTTTACTCCTTATTCGCGAGCGAGCGCGTGAAAGCGGAAGGCAAGAGAGAGCGGATCAGTCGCCGGGCGAATCTCCGAAGATTTACGACAAATAAATTCTCTTGCGTTCGACGCTCCTTCAGCAAGGTCGCCCTCGTAAAGGTCGCGTCACGCGAATTCACATCTCGCGAATTTTTCTATTTCGAAAGTGGGCTCTCGCGTTCTCTGGTCTAACAGTACCCATCCGACGGAGGATCTCGCCCTCCGTGAGAACCTATTACTCATCGTCATGCTCGCGCCCGGGCCCCCTGTTCCTGAACGAGATAAGTATCATAAGTAAATCGCGATCAGGGCCCGCGATACGACCTTCGATCACGTAGCTGACCACGGACAGAGAGATAGATGGATAGATAGAAAGGAGGTAGAAAAAAGGGAGAGAACGGGGAGAACTGTTTAAAGGATAGATGGGAGGTCGAGTGGATCTCGCGAAATCGCCCGGAGCAAAAATGCAAAAACCAAGGCGAGCGCTGGTTGGCGGGCTGGCTCGACCGAGCAATTACCCGGTTGGTTCCACGCCGGAATGGGGCCCCGTTCTTGGGCCTACGGAACCGCGCACACTGGCAAGAGGAAGGGGAAGAGAGCGGCAGAGTCGAACGTGAAGAGGAACAAGAAGAATAAAAAGAAAGAACAAAAAAAAGAAAAAAAAAAAGAAGTATCTGGAGAAGTTGGCGATGGCGGGGGAGAAGGGAGAAAAACTCTTTAATATCTCTCGTAGTCTCTCATCGGCACACTGACCGACCACTCCGCTTCTATAGCGCGGACTTGGTTGCACCGGCGGTGCAAGCCTCTCTTCGTTTTCGTCATTCTTTCGCTCGCCGCGACGAAAGGTCGGGTCAGCTTTAATTATCGTAAATCAAACGAGAGAGCGGCGCGCCGAGAGGAGGCACCGGCCGGCGGTTGTGCAAGCGCGAGCGCGAGCGCGAGCGCGCCGCGATTATTGTTGAAATCGCGGAGAACCCGCCGGATAAAAGAGTACACGAGGCGAGCGCTGAAACGCAGGCCACGGACCGGCGCGGCGAATCGTGAAATATCGACCGATCGAGTTACAACACGACGATATTTTCGCGCGTTCCCCTGCCCCCCTCATCCCCCTTTGTGAACTCTTGATATCTTCGGAGGAGGTTGACCGAATATCGGCCCGGCCGCGTTGCGAAATTTCTCGATGTTCTCGACCGCGTTCGTTCGAAAGTCGCATTTATAAATTTCTCAATCGCGTCTTTCGATCCACTTTGCACTTTAAGCGTTCTCTTCTTTTTTTTTTTTTTAATATCCT